ACCAATAAGCGTGCATAAAGAAAATAAAAGCAGGCCACATACAGAGGATGAAAATCACAGCGTATTGGGAAATGAGAAGCCAGTGAAGCAATGCCTTTGAGATTCTGAAAGAAATTATGTCCAACCTATAATTCTATACCCAGTCAAACTAGTGTGACAGTAGAGTAAAAGCATTTTGGTATGCAAAATTTCAAAAATTATCACCCACACACTTTTTCTCCATCCAAATGAGGATTAAACCAAGAAAGAGGAAGACATGGAATCCAGGCGTCAAAATTCCTGGGAAAGAGGTAAAAGGAACCTCTGAGGAAGGTGAAGGGAGGAGCCCAGGATGCTTGCTGTACACCAGGTGGAGATGACCCATTCAGGCTGGAGCAGGCTAAAGTAGAAACAATAGAATACCTGATAGAAATGAATGTATTGGGAATAGATTTAGACAACTGAGATAGAATTAGGAGTAAATACATAGAAAATTAAGCATGTGAAAGAAAAGTGACAATTACTCATTGTAATGAAAGCAAAAAATTATGCAGTGCTACTAGTTATATATTACTGTGTAACAAATTGCCCCACAACTTAGTGTCTCAAAACAATACCTGTTGGTCAGGGAAGGTGGGATTGTCTGGGGGATCTGGCTTGGGAACTCTGGAGATTACAATTCAGTGCATTAGCCAGAACTGCAGTCTTCTGAAGGCTTGGCTGAGCTGAACAACTGCTGGCTGCCATGCAGGAAGGAAAATGCATCCCATTATGCTCCTAATACTTTGCTTAGTATTGCCCTATCCAAATCATAATATAGAAGGAGGGTTGCAAATGTGCCTTTGTGTTACAGAGATGGAAACCTTAAAAAGGCTTCTTTGTTTACTTAAATCTTCCTCCTCCAAAATAAAAAGTCAGAAGCTAGTGCCTAAAACCAAATACTCAAGAGGTAGCAATACAAGCATTTTTATGTGGAGATCCAAAGGTACAGACCAAAAATCCAGCACAGATGAAAGTGCTTGTCTCAGCAAATGAGATTTGGGGGCCTAGAGCCTAATGTTTTACTTAACAAAGCCTTGTGCCTTGTTAAACTATTCCCATGTATATGTTTGAGAAAAGTAAAATTTAGATTAATAAAAGGAAATCATAAAAGTAATAAAGTAAATATAGGTGAATTTTTTTGCTGTTGTGGAAGGGGCAGGCCTTTCTCAGTATGTTGACACCAAGAGAAGAAATCATAAAGGAAAATATAAATTTGCTAGATTAGACTTCATATTCAGCAAAAGCTTCTGTACCTTAAACATGCACATGTCCAAAGAGGAAAGACAAACCCCTAGCCAGGAAAAAATCCCAATAAACAGGCCAGAGGGCTAGTGGTAAAATGTTAACTATTTCTGACCTTTAAAAAAAACAAGCTGTTTCATTCTGTCTCTAGGGCAATTGGCAAATATATCAAAGCCTTGAACGTGTATATATCTTTTGACCCAGCAATTTCAATTCTAAGAAACAGTTCAGTGCCCGGCTGTGGCATGACTCAGCGGTTGAGCGTCGGCCTAGAATCCAGGAGATCTCGGTTCGATTCCGGGTCAGGGCACATGCCTGGGTTGCGGGCTCGATCCCCAGTCAGGGGTGTGCAGGAGGCAGCTGATCAATGACTCTCTCATCATTGTTTCTCTCTCCCTTCCTCTCTCTGAAATAAATAAAGATATATTTAAAAAAAAAAAAGAGTTCAAGAGATCACCAGTAAGTAATGTGGGTTACAAAAATAAAACTAGCCCTGGCCAGTGTGGCTCAGTTGGTGGGCACATCATCCTGTACACCAGAAGGTCATGGGTTTGCTTCCCAGTCAGGGCATATACCCAGGTTTCAGGCTAGTGGGGGTGAGTGCGGGAGGCAACCAATCAATGTTTCACTCTCACATCAATGTTTCTCTCCGTCTCCCTTCCTCCTCCTAATACCAATAAAAGCATGTCTTCAGGTGATGATTAAACTTTTTAAAAAATAAAATAAAACTAGTAGTACAGGTGTATAATGAAACACTAGGAAGCTCTTAAAAGTCAGAGCAATGAAAACTATATTGGCAGGTAAAAACACTTGTGATTTCTCTATTTTTAAAATTTATGTAAATGTGCATAGATACATGTGTACACATATAGGTACACACTGAAATCCAGGGTATTACTGTTTATTTGGGGTGATTGTGTGTGTTTGTCATTTGTGTTTTCCAAGTTTTTGACACTGATCAGATGTTATTTTTGTGATCAAGAAAAAGGGGGATTTTTAAAAATTTATTTGAAAAATATGGAAAGTACAAAGAAAACAGTAATCATATTCTTGCCACCTAGAGTTAACCACTACTAACATTTGGCACATTTGCTTTCATTTTTTTCTTTCTGCAAATTTTTAAAATATAATTAACACCAAAACAATAACCTTGATTATCTTTTAGGTATGAGACTGTAGACTGTTTTGGGTTTTTTCTTTCTCCACCCCCCTACTCCCACCTTTTTCTCTCTTATAATTTTCTGTATTTCTCAAGTTTTCTCTGACGAGCATGCTTTACTTTTTAAAGGGATAAAGTGTTCTTTAAAATACATATAGTTTCTTAAAACATGCAGTCAGCCCTTCATACCCTCAGATTTCACATCCGTGGATTCAGTCAACCGCATATTGAAAACAGTGGGAACCCACGGATACGGAGGGCCACTGTTTATGCCTTTTTATATAAGGAACTTGAGCATCAGCAGATTTTGGTCCCCAGAGGGAGTCTTGGACCCCATCCCCACCAGATACCGAGGGACGACTGTAATAACAAAGGCATGTGAGAGTATGACACTGAGTAGTGGAGAGAACACTGGACTGGATGTCACAGCACTGCTGGTGCGTTTCTGGCTCTGCTGTGAACCAGCAGAATGACCCTGGGCTGGTCACTGGACCTCTCCAGATCGCTTTCTCATCTACAAATGAGAGGTGTAAACTGGAAAAATTTCTGTGGTAACACAGTTCTAAAAATACTGCGATTCTAAATTAAGATTGAGTGAGAGGCTGTGGCTCCACAAATAATGGACTCTGAGTTCCTAATTTCTTGGTCTAGTCTGTAGTACTAGACTCCAAGTTAGAATCATTCTGAAGAACACTCTGAGAATTCTTGAGCAGTCTCATCCTACACTCCATGTTCTTAGGGTGGAGATTCAGTTTAGATAAGCTGGAAGGACCATCTCTTCCAGCTATTTTATTTCATAGTTTCAAAAACATCTCCAGAGAGATTGCAGTTTGTTCAAATCACAAAACTAGTCAGAGGCAGAGACAGGTTTTCTGATTCCTGGTCTGCAGATTTTTATACCACATATGCTTCATGCACAACAGGATCAATCTTTCCTCAATGCCACCAGGACCTCATTTGCACTGTCACCAAAATGGTCCTGGAGGGCAGTTGTTCACTGTCCAAAAGCATTGTGTCATTCAACTCTAATCCAAGTTGAGGGAAAGGAACTGGAGGCCCAGGGAGGGACCAAGGGGCTCATCTGTCCATACCCTTTCCTCTTTAGGTCTGGGAAAGGGAAATAGCAATTTCATTTTTTCTTCCCTTTTTAGTTCCATAGCTTACCTTTCCCCCAGTAATTATATAGCCAGAGATTATTTGTTTACAAAAGCCTGACCACGTGAATCAGCCAGCCCCCAAAGGGTTAACACTCCCAAATTACGGGGTGGGTTAACAATAAACAGGATGTCCTCCAGAAATTAAATTTAAACCACTGTGACTCAGGCTGGCCCATCCTCTAACCAGATCACTGTCTGGGGTTATTATCGGTGGTTAATTATACCATTGGGTTTAGCGACAGTGTTGGTCAGTTTGGGCCAAGAGAAACCAGGCTCGGGGAGAAGGTGTAGAGGGAAGGGGCCTGGTGGGTGGGGTGGGTGCAGCAGTGGGAAGGGGAGGTTTGAATGAAAGAAACTGAAAGTAGTGAGGGTGGTGGTCTAACCTGTACCCTCAGGGCTCCTACTAGAACCTTCTTCCCTGAGCTGATCCCAGGGGTACTTACCTCACCCCTCCCTGGGGAAGGGGGGGCGAAACTGACATTTCTATAGCTGTTGGGATGCACTATGTTTGCTTTCTAGCCTGACCACACTGCTTTTCTTCTCAGAATTGTGGAATCATAAAATTTTCAGCACCTTAAGGAAGCTTCTAGATTATCTAGCTTAACCTTTTGCTTCACAGAGTAGGAAATTAAGGCACAGGGCAGTGGTTACCTGCCGAAGGGCAGCCTGCATGGCAGAGGTGGAGGCAGGGTTAGTGCTCAGGTTGAGACTCCTAGATCATGACCTTTCCTTATGCTGAGCTGTCTTCCATTTCTAAGTGTGGAACCTGAGTTGCAGAGTCTCCTAGCATGTTCATGGCAAAGTTGGGCTGCATTTCAGATTCTTGGAGTTAGCTGCATTTAGACTGTGTCAGTTCTCACGGGAAATACCCAGCCTGGCTGATCTTTAATGCCCCTACAATTTGTCATCTCTCCCCAGCCATAGAAGAAGCCCTTCAGAGCCACAGTTTGTCCCTCTGAAGAGAAGTGGTGAAGCACCTAATACAGATATGTGGTTTTTATGGTGCTTTTAAAGGCGTATTTTCTAGGATAATAGTGACCCAAGTGAGCTTGTACTTTCTGACTTCGCTCCTTGAGACACAAGGTTCATGGTGACTGTTATTTGTACAGTATCTCCCCTTTCCTGTCTTTGCCTTTGTAATGTATTTAAACTGACTATTAGTAGGAAAGATGCTCTGGGGCAGAAGGTGGTACCCAAGACCTCCATCTGACACTGTCCATGGGTGGATGACTGTCCCAGAGCCTATCCTGGCAGCTGATGGTCCTACACCCACAGGACATGTGGTACAAGTGGTGGGAAGCGAGCCACTGCCACTGTTTTTTACCCTTCTGGGGGATAAGAGACCTGTATTTCATCAGTTCTTTTTAACCACATCCTTCCCCATTTCTCCTAACATCCCTCTTTGTCTCTTTGTCTTACAGGATTCCTTTCAAGATTGGGCAGCCCAAGAAACAGATTGTCCCCAAAACAGTGAGTAACCGATTCTTTCATTCTGAGACTCAGTGCTGTCTCACATGGCCTTTGCATAGTACCAGAGCTTTGACTCAACACATCATGGGGCTGGAGAGGCAGAACCTCGCCCTTGTCATCCTCAGTTGTGTAGCTCTAGAACCTTGCATAGACGGGGGCTCCCAGGGACTTCCTGTCCTGGGACATCATCGTTCCTCAGCTCAGCCTGGGCAGGTGGAAGAGGCAGATTACACAGGCGAGGAGAAGCACACTGCTTCTGACTGCTCATCTCTGGGATCTGGCATGCAGTCTGCATGTTCCTAAGAGGGAGCCTGAAACAAGGACCCCTGCCCAGGACACATCCCAGGCCTTTCTGTTGGGCCACCTCAGGCCACATGAAAGACCAAGAAACTTCTCCAAGACTCCACATCCACTTGCCTCCACTGCTAAGTGCATTCCTAGCCAAGACCCAGAGTCACTCAGCACAGGGGATAATTGAATCCTTACACACACACACACACACACACACACACACACACACGCATGGTTTTTTGTTTGTTTTGTTTTGTTTTTTAAATATATCTTTATTGATTTTAGAGAGAGGAAGGGAGGGTGAAAGAGAAATAGAAACATCAACAATCAGAGAGTCATCATTGATCGGCTTCCTCCTGCACACCCCTGACTGGGGATCGAGCCCACAACCTGGGCATGTGCCCTGACCAGGAATCAAACTGCGATCTCCTGGATCCTAGGTCAGTGCTAAACCGCTGAGCCACACCCTGCTGAGCACACACAGTTTTATCTCCAGAATGGGAGAGGAAGAGAATCATAGCTTCTTAGAAAGTTAGAGCTGGAGCCCTTAGAGATCATCTAGTTCAACCTCCTGATTTTTCCTGATGAGGAAACCCAAAACCATAGAGTCTCAGTGACTTTCTAAGGTTAGAAAAAGCTAATGCTGACAGAGCTGAAATTAGAACTCAAGTGTGAGCCTCTGTTCAATACCCTTTCCATTGTTTTATGCTGCCTCACTCAGGCTGTAAAGATCCCCCAAGGTTTGGGGATTCTAGTAAAGAATGGCTGCTGTAGCCCCCACCCCTGCAAGTCTGAGCGAGGCCCTTGGTTTTCATGTGGGAGACCGTAAAAATGGTCTGGTGGACCAGGAAGCCTGGTGGCCCTTGACTCATTTCAGCCCCTGGTGGTTCTCTGTCCCTTCTTAGCTTAGGACTGAGAGCTACAGGAAAAATACTGCTTCAGTTGGCAGGAAGGGGAGTTCAGCAAACACCTGACCAATGGCTCTATCTTTGGGAAGTCCAAAGTTAAGTCACTTAAAAGGAAATAGGCCCGTGTTAAGAGAGCCCTCCCCTTTTTTCAAGCAAAGGCTGGCCCGGAGAGACTCAGAGTTTACCTCCCATGCAGAGGCTGACCATCTGTGGAGGCTCTCAGCCGAAGCACAGAGAACCTGGGCGTGCAAGTGTTGGGCTCTAGCCGGCTACAGGAAGTGCGAAGGTGTGGCTTTGAGTCTCCAGAGTTTAATCCAGGGCAGATCTGAAAAGGAAGTGGTTTTGAAAAGGGTCTTTTATTCCCAACACTCACTACCAGAGAACAAAACAAACAAACAGAAACCCTCTAGACTCCTCAACCTTTATCGAAATGGTCTTGTTCTTCACAGAAAATACAGCCTAGAATGCAGTTTCCAGCTTCTTTGCCAGTTTGTTGATGGGAAGATCTGTGGGTGTTTTAGTCTGAGGAGTGGCAAGGACTCCCTAGGGGAAGGGCAGATACACAGTGTGAGGAAACCCTCTGTGCCCGTATGGCCCTCTGTGGGCCATGGCTCCCTCTCCCCTTCCTAGCACTGTCTCACTTGGGATGAAACTGTGGTCCTCCAACTGTGGCATCAGCTCCCCTGCACAGTCTAGGCATAGAGTAGTGGATAAGAAGCCAGACTTGGAAAATTCCCTGCCTAGATCCCCATCCTGGCCCTGGCATGCTGCATATGACCTTAGGCAAGTTCCTTACCCTCTCTGAGGCTCCGTTTTCTCCTTTGTAAAGTGAAGGTTATGCTAGGCCCTATGTCGTTGTCTAATGAGTCTCACATGAGGTGGTGTATACGAAGCACTTCACACAGGCTCTGGCCCATAGTAAGGCCTCAGTAAATACTAACTACACTGCAGGCAGAAAGTCAGTTTAATAAACAACCAAGGACTACGCCGGTCCCAGCAGTTAGATTCCCCAGTGCAGTGTCAACTGGGATAATTTGCTTCCTCAACTCCCAGGTGTCACCAGATGTCTGCAGCAAGACCCTGCCCCTTCAGAGTCTTGTTCTCTACTTCCCAAGCAACTCCTGGCCCCGCAAATAGGCCAGAGCTGTGTGGCTTTCTCAGCATCTTCGCAGCTGCCCCCAGCAGTGGCGACGCACCCTGTTGTTCCTGCCCAGGCAATTCAGGGAGGGAAGCAGATGGGGCTGCCTGGGTTGTTGGAAGTCACAGCACCGTGTCATGGGAAGAAATGTTCATGTTATCTTCAGGGAGTTTCAGGAGGTTTTTGGCTCAAGACACCCAACTTTCAGACACAAAGAAGGCATTGTGTGTCTGCCTCACTGTTCTCCTGTGCCCAGGTTGTTAAGGCAGATTCCATTATTGTCACAGCTTTGGCTGGAATGGCCTGGTTCTCTGCAGGGGCTGACCAGTGGAACTGAAATGGAAGGTTCCCCACTCCGCATCCTAACCTCCTGCTTAGCCCCCTCCATTCCCCCGGTCCCATAAAGTAGCTGGAGCATCTTGATGTGGCCAAAAGAAGCCACACCCCACTCCATAGCCTGGGAGGCTGGGAGAGCTCGCTAATGCAGTTACCCTGGGTCTCGCACCCAGAGGAAAGCACACACTTCGATCCCTAGCTAGGTGGGCGCTCTGTGAAGTCAGGCAGAAGAGAGTCCCACCACGTGGAGCCTTCACTGGGAAAGATTTCCACGTGCAACATGAAGGGGCCCTCAGCCTCATTCCTGTCCTGTTGTAACGGGCCATAGGGTAGCTGCTTTCCAGCCAAGCAGCCTTGCAGAGAGGCTTCTCAGCTGGTCTCCTTTCTCACGTCACCAGGAATGTAGGTTTGGGTGGGAACTCAGCCCATTCATTCAGTTAACAAGTACTGGGCTCCTGCAAGGTGCCAGCCTGACCTCAGCACCAGAGAGATTGCAGTGAGCCACACAGCCCCTCCCTGCCGCCCTGAGCCTGCTAGAATGCAGGGAGCAGCCGAGGCGGCATCCCGCGCTTGATTCTCCCGGCACTAACCTCTCTGGCCCACCCGCCCGCTCTGACCCGCTGACAGTCATGCACATGTGTTTACACTCGCATTGTTGACTGCGGTCCAGCTGCCTTTTTGGCAAAGGCATCAAGCATTCAGAGATGTTCTGATCTTTTGTGTTTGGCTCTTTCCCTCAGAATGGATAGACCTTGGAATGAGACTCCAGTATGTCCCTTTAATCCCCATCTGAGGGGCTAGAGTCCTGGTGGTGTCCCCCAGATCTATCTCCAGTGGAGGAGAGAGATCTCGGGACTGTGAGCTATAGAAGCAGCCATGGCCAAGGAGGTGAAACATTCTTTTAGGCTGTCTGATGGCCTGGAAGGGCAAAAAGTAGGAGGACCAGTCTCTCACTCCGACATGCTTCTCAGCTTCCAGTGTGAGACCTTGAGTTTCTCATCAACCAGAATGATCCAACCCAGTTGGAAACCTGCAGTCCTTCCCTGTGCAAGTCCAAGCAGTCCCAGCCAGGAGCCCAGGTGTTCGCTGACATCCCACACACACACCAGCATGGAGATTGCAGCAGAGAGCGCAGGGCCAGGGCTGCAGCCCCGGTGCGTTGGCAGGCGCTAGCCTCCCCTCTCAGAGAACCTACTCTGTGGTCTTGATCTTTAGGAGAGCTGCATTCTGGCAAGACATCATTAATTTTAATCTCATCTTTTTGGGAGAAAAATACCTTTGCTATGTAAAGACACTGCTTACATCCTACGAAATAAGAAAAGAAATGTGTCCCAGTACACATTTGTGGCCCAGTACTGCCCCCCACGCACAGGACCCCAGACTTAGCCAAAATCAGGGGTATCCTCACTGTCACTGGACTGCATACTTCGTGATGCTTCTCCTCTCTGCCAGAGGGCCACAGACCAGTCTGCACCCCCAGACTGCTCTGGTCCTCTCACCACCTCAGTGTGGAGGAGGAACAGTCCAGCACCGTGCATGGGCCAGGCTCCCTGCCCTGCATTCCACGTATACTTTTGTGAATCCTCAAGACAAGTAGGTGAGGCTGACACTGTTACCCCATTTCTTTGTCAGACCCTGAAATTTACATGGGGGGAGGCCAAATATAATATCCCAGTACTAGACAAGAAACTAAGACTCAGAATGTTAGGTAATGCTCCACGGCTTGTATCCGAGTTTACGCCTTACCCATCTCTGCCTTTCCTCTCCCCACCTTCCTTCCACACTGCTAGAGAAAGGATGGACCAGCTGCAGCACTGACTCTACAGGGCCCTTTTGCCCCAGAATAAATCTCCCACCTGCAGTCCCCCGGAGGTCTTTCCTGCCTTTAGCTATGACCTGATTCCTGCCCAACAACAAATCCCCTGTGATAGATAACACTTTAAACTCTGATCAGTACATATGCTGTAGTGGGAGTGAATTTTTTTCTTAAGAGTAGCTTTTGGTGGATCCTAAGGAAGGCGATGATGAAAACTTTGGGTTCCTGGATAGAGAAAGAATGGGTCTGCTCTTGGTACAGGGTTCTAGATGCTAGGATCATAAAGTAAGGAAAACACTGTGTGTTTCTGCTTCTAAATTTCCCAGTTCATATGTGGAAGGTGACACGCTCTCGTGCCCTGAGAACCTCAGTGGAGTCTGGCCCACATCACCCTTTCACGGCCCCCGCCCTCGCCCACCACAGGGCTTCCCACTGATCACAGTTACCTGTGTGTGTTTGTTTGACCTTCCCCACCAGGGCCCATGTCTCTGTTATCCATCAGGGTATCCCTAGCACCTGGCAGAATGCATTGCACTTAATAGATGTTCTTTAAATATTTATGGGATGAATAAATATAGTCGAGAAAAATAAATAAAAGGCCTGAATTCTAGGAGTCTGAATTGTAGCTGTCCTTATGTGAATTGCATCCCTCTCTTGACTTCACTCTCCTCATGTATAACATGAAATAATGGGCCTGAATCATGTCCTGCCCTTCTGTGACTGTGTGGAGTTTTCCCAGATCCAAACGTGGAGTCTGAGGCTGATGGTATTAGAAGACTCTTTCACTGGGCACCTTTGATGGGAGGGCCTGCAGGTGAAGAGCAGTGTAGCTTTGACGACTTCTGCAAACTTGTACTCCCGGACCTCCAGCCTGTACCAGAGTGAGAGTCAGGATCTAGGGCTCACACTGACAGGTCTCGGGGGCACAGCTGAGCCATCTTCCTGAGGCCATGGCTTATATTCCTCAGCAAACACCATTTCCCTTTCAGTGGAATGCCGGTTAAGAGCACAGGCCCAGGAGCTTGGCTGCACTTAGGGGTGTGACCTTGCACGGGTCACTTCACCTCTGACCCCATGACCTCCGCAGTACAGTGAAGGCCATGGGTACACCTGCCTCCTGGCTGAGTTGGAGGTGAAGACGGTCCCAGAAGCCTGCATCAAGCGTTCCATGAACGTAGCCGGTTTTATTTCTCAGAGCGCCTCGGCCCAGAGGCTCGACGAGGCGGCCAGGGAGTGGTACCACTTTCATGGGAGAGAAGGAAGGAGAAGCCTCTCGCCCATCCCTCCTTTGGGCTCTCAGATATCACTTTCTTCACTGGCCATGTGCCTGAGAGCCACTGCAGAGGCCCCTTTTTACAGATGGGGAGAGTCAGCCATGGAAGTGTAGTCACTTTCTTCACCTCACCTGACATGTAGGTGGCAGAATTAGGTCCAGGACTCACTCCCGTTTGGTTTAAATATTGCTGGCATTGGGGAAATCTGATAACTAATCAGGAATTTAGAGTCTTGCCGGAGTCAGCAGTATAATATTTGTGTTTGGTACATCCCAGTGCACAGAGCGTGGATATGTGATGTTTCTCGATCTACCCTGGAGCTAGCAGGTGGTAGGACCTGTGAGGAAACCAGGCCTGTGACCATGGAGGTGACTTGCTCGGGCCTCGCCTCAGAACTGCTAAGTGGCAGAGACAGAGCTGAAGTCCATAACCACCCTTTGCCTCTGCCCCCCACTGCCTCCCTGGTGAATGTCAGTCACATGTTGAGCAATTTTCCTGTCCCAGGAGGGAGGGTGAGAAGAGGGAGCCCAGCTTAGTGCCCCACTCCCTGTGGTGGAAGAACGGAGCCGCAATCCGCTGGTACTTGCCTGGCTGGCACATCTGAGAGGGGAGTCTCTCACCCTAAGTCAGACACTTAATTAATTTGGGAACACAGGGGTACTGTGTCGTTAATGACCTGCCGGTGCCTGTGTGAACTGGACGGTGTTGTTTCTGTAGGCTAGGGGAGGGTGTGGAGGGAGTGTCGGGAGGCTGGCAGATTTTTTCCAATGTGTTGTCATTTCTCTGATGATTGAGTTAGTTATCTCTCTCATTACAGGTGGAGAGAGACTTTGAGAGGGAGTATGGAAAACTGCAGCAGTGAGTGTCACACCCCAAAAGGATGGGGGCTGGGATTGGAGAAGGACAAGAGCCTTCTGCCAGGACTCACTCCCCGCATGGTTTTGTCTGCTCACCCGTTAGTAGGCTGCTCCTCTGCTTGTCACCACCCCGGGAGCCGAGAGCAGCTCAGTTCACCACCTGCCAGAAGGTCTCCCCTAACTGATGGCTTGGTGGCAGTCATTAACTCATAGCCTTTGGATGCTTGACCTTATGCAGAGCTTATAGTGGCCCTTCAATCAGTGGGAAAAAGTTCCCACAGAGAAGGGCCCCTTCTCCTCCTGGTGGGCATCCAGAGTACCCAAGTTGGGCCTCCCTTAGGTAGATGGGAAGAAAGGGGACGATTGGCAAAGCCAGTTGGCGATGCCAGGTACCAGGCCCGTGCCCCTGCCTTGCAGGCTGGAAGAGCAGACCAGGAGGCTGCAAAAGGACTTGAAGAAGAGCACGGATGCTGACCTGGGTAGGTGGCATGTTCCCTGAGCTGGACTGGGTGGGGCACAGGTGATGCCCTCCTCCCTCAGTCACCTTAGGGCTGGCTTTGAAGTAAGTGCCCAACTTACTTCATGTAGATGTCCAACAGATGTCCGTGAGAAGTGGCCTGAGGTCAGGCTTCACTGAGCAGAGCCCCACTCACCCCTTTCCAGGGCACAGCAGCCACCACCGCAGCCAGGTGCAGTGCTGGCTCCTGCGGTCTGTGCCTCAGAGCCTCAGGCCAGTATGATCCAGAGAATGTGGGCACGTCTGAGCATGACAGCCCTCACTCCTGGCCCCTAGCGTCTCCAAACTATGCGTGCAGCAAGCCAAGGGTCTGCTTTTGGAGACCGTCTGTTATTTGTTTTGAAGTTAGTTCTGAGTTACCTGGATGGCATCTTTCTTTATCACTCCCTACTGCCTTTCCAGCCAGGGCTGTGACCTGTTGCTTCCTTTCTTATTACTGTGTGTCACTGAAACCAGGGGTTGCCTAGCTACACCCAACCTGGCCTTCTTTTGTCAATAAAGTTTTATCGGGACACAGCCACGCCCATTCTTCAGGTATTGTCTGTGGAAAAGTTGAATAGTTGCAACAGAAACCATATGGCCCTCCAAGCCTAAAATCTGGACTCACTGGCTCTTTACAGTAAGTCTGCTGCCCTGGTGTAGCATGCTATGTTACCCTTGTTCTCCAGCCACACTGCACCTCCTGGCTACCTAGAGGGGCTTCTGAAACACATAGTCCTGGATTCCAGACTTACATACCAGATTAGAATCTTTGCAGCTAGAAATCTGCATTTCTTACAGCTTCCCACCCAGGTGATTCTTTTATAACCCAGAGTTTAGAACACTGTCATTGCAACAGGTAAAACTGCCCCAAAGAATTATCCAGAACAGCATCAGATGGTCAGGAATGAGCATTGTGCAGTAAGGACTAGTGTCTACGTTCTGTGATACTTTGTAGTTTGTAGTTTAGGTGTAGGTCATCTGGGTGCAGGCCCCTGGACTGAGGGAGACAGGGAGCCCTGACGACAAGGCTTGGAAGCCTGTTCCTTCACAAGTTCCCTCAACTCTGACTTCTTACAGCCATGTCCAAATCTGCGGTGAAGATATCCTTAGACTTGCTCTCCAATCCCCTCTGTGAACAAGACCAGGATTTTCTGAACATGGTGACAGCCCTGGACACAGCCATGAAACGGATGGACGCCTTCAACCAGGAAAAGGTGACTGGGGTCTGGGTCTCCTCTTCCCGTAACTTCCGTCTGGAGGAGCACCTGCATGGCGTCCTTAACAGGGCCCAGGCTCCTCTCTGGGTGCCCTCAACCCTCTGAGGCCTGTATGCCCAAGCCCTGCGAACTCTTTCTGGTGGACCTGCTCTCGGTGGCTCCCACAAGCTCACATCACTCACAGGAGGCCATGAGGGAGACGCAGGTTAGCTCTGCCTGACCAGCCTTCTCTCTGAGCAAGGCCATTAGTGACCTTGGCAGACAGCAGCTGGCAGGATAAGAACTTAACAGGGACAAGAACACTGTTCCTTGTTGCCCTTCAGGTTTCCTGGGGTTTGCCCTGCCCCAGCTGCAGTTAGGGGTGCCCACCCTGCCTGTCCTACTCTGGTCCTCTCCCTGCCGGGTTCCTGGGGTACCCCTGACAGGTCCCCTTCCTCTTCTCAGGAACTGGAGCCTCCCCCTTTAGGAAGAGTCTGGCTTCCCCCTGGTTTTGATGTCATTGGGTTTTTCTTCTGACAGGTGAACCAGATTCAAAAGACCGTGGTCGAACCCTTGAAAAAGTGAGTAAAGGTCATCTGGGGACTAGCTCAGGGCACTCATGGGAAAGGCAGGTCAGCTGGTCACCTGGGGACTGACTGTCACTTCAAGCAGCCTGTCCTTAGACATGAGGTGGACAGGAAATTGATGGGGTTGCCAGCTACATGGTCTGTGGTCCTAGGGTTGACAGAGTGCCGGCCACTGCCCTGATGCTCAGTGACAGCAGGGCGCGTGTGATCCTCCACAGCAGCTGGCCACTGCTCTGGGGGTCGTTTTGCCATTTTCCCTTTGTTCCTGTTGGAGGACCAGTGGGACCAGAGCTTGCTGAATTAAGCTAGCAGAGATCTTGGCCAGCCCTCAGCGGAGATGAGCAAGGCCTTTCATCTCTCCCAGCCGGATTGGAGAGCAGCTGCCTGCAGCAGTCAGCTTTTGAAATGTGGGGGTGGCTGCACATGGGGAAGGGCGCAGCCATGGGTTCCCGCCTGGGAAGGTCCCCTAACTCATGACCTGTCAGGGTCAGAAATTCTTCTGTGAGACTCCTCTTCTGTCAGGCAGACTCTGGTCAGTGATCAGACAGGCCTATTCCCTGGGTCCCCTAAGGGGGTGGGCATTGCCTTGAAGCTCCCGAATCACTTCATCTTCTTCCCTGGCCTCTCCCAGGCAGCCTCTGACCTAGAAAGGCTCGGCTCCAGCCCGGCAGCTGCACTTTATTACCTCTCTGTGGTGGTCCCTGGCAGTTGCCACACCAGGGCTGGGTAATGAGGCTCTGCTAATTACCATTAGGCTGGATCATGGCCCAGAGGGAGATGAGAGAGCAGGTTTTGATCCTCTGGCCCCTGGTGCTGGGGTTGTTGAGCTCCTCGCTCCCTGCTCAGGTCCAAGGGGTGGGGTTCAGAAAAGCTCTTTCTAAGTCGGGCTCTCTGAGGCTCAGCCATGGTAGGGAGGCTGAATCTGGTGAGAGAAGGGATTTTTCCCTGCACCGCTGCTCCTTCCCTGGGCCCCTGGGCCCTAAACCTTGCTCAGCCCCAGGTCACAGGGTCACATGAGCAGCTGGTGCTGAGGAGGCCAGTGGCTCAGGCATCAGATGAGATGGACTTCCATTGCTCATAGCCTGCTGACCAGTCTCTAGGACCAAGGGTTCAGAGCTGGTTGGGAAGGACCAAGGGCAGAGCAGACCCTGCCCATGGGGGTCTCAGGGGCTGCCATGGAGACTGCCATGGGCACCCACGGCTGGCAGAACTAGGCAGGGGACACCAGCTCAGAGAACGGGGGACGGACTCCTGTCTCGATTTCACAACCAACGAGGCGGCCTTGAAATCTGATGCTTGGCTACTGGAGCCAAGTGGAGAGAAATCCCGGCTGCTTCCCACCACCCTAGCAGCCCACCACCTGCCAGGAAGGTGGGTGAGTGGCAGAGGGGGCGGGCACCATCTCCGCAGCAGATCCGCTGACCTCTGCGTGAGCCCCTGGCCTGCCTGGCTACCCAGGCTGGCTTCTGTGCCTCTCAGCCGACATGCGATCTCCCCCGACCACATAAAACCAGCACTGCCTGTTGCCTCCTCTTGCCAGGAGAGAGGCTCCCAGGGACCCCAGCACTGGAAACAGGAAACTGCAGCTTTCCTGTCCTCTGATGAAGAACGTTGCCACATGGCCACCCCACCGCCCCCAGCCTTCCCCTAGGGGCTCGGCCTCTAATCCCCAGTCCCTGGGCCACACTCACATGGTCGGATGGGGATGCTTTCAATTTCCCTTTCCTGGTGGGTGGAAGATCCCGGCTGTGTGGGCACAGATTGAGGAATGGCAGGCATTCCCCACCAGGGCCGGCTGCTCCCAGCCCACCTCCCAGCCGGCCTCTTTCTGCCTCCCTCTTCCCCTCCTCCCTCTCTCACTGCCTCTTCACCCCAAGCTTACCCAGGGGAGACACTTTGCTGTCAAACCTTAGGACAGGCGAGAAACCAGCAGTCACCATGGGCAGAGCTTCAGTCAGTGCCTGGTGTAGGCCCTGCCCCGTTCTCCCATCTTTGAGGATAGACATATCCTAGGAGCTCATGATCTAGTGCAGACACCTTGATAACATTCTCAAGGAAATGAGGACTATAACACCTGCCAAGGTGGTGCGGCAGGGTGGAGGAGGGGACTGGCTAGACGGACAGTCCCAGCCTGCCCCACCCAGCCGGTCACCTTGGCCAGGTCCTGCTCCTCTGAGTCTGTTTTCCCACCTGAACTCTTGGAATGTCATAGCCAGTGCTCAGCAGGGGAGGGAAGTGTCAGTGGACTGAAGTGTCAAGTTGATCCTTGTGTGCAGGGCTGAGAATCTCCTGGGGCCCTGACACAGGGACTTATATTCCACCTCACCACTGACG